ATAATGTGTTTTTTGAACATTAAAGCATGTCAACATATTCTGTTATACTAAATACACAAAATAATGATCTTTAAAATAACATCATATGACCCCTTTAAGTGAATTATATGGCAATAATCAGCAATATGCATTTACACAAATGACTTATTTTTTTAATGTTTCATATGTGTTGACACAAATTACTTATTTAAATTTTGCATTGATACAACATTGCACTGAGTTGTTAGGAAAGAAATGCGCAGAGACGTTATTGCTTGATGACGTCAGGAACCGATGACTCGGCTTTTTGAACCGGTTCAATGAGCCGATCTGTCCGAAAAGAACCGGTTCGCGGAAATGAATCGGACTTTGCATCACTACAGTACAAACAAAGCCAAGCAGGGAAAACAAAGTACAAAGAAACCACAAAGGAAAACGGGGTAACACATCCACAACGACTGACAAGGACAGACTGAGAGACACACAGCTTATGGCTAAAACGGCTTGCGATATGCGTTCGACTTCATGCAGCACTGTGCAGATCGATCGCAATAGGCTTGTTTGAGATGAGCAAATTCCCAATAGTATGTTCCTGCACAACCGGAGGCTGCAGTTTCAGGACCGCAGTTCTAGGACCCTATTCTTTTCTAACAGCGCCACCTACCGAATCACTAAAGATGGACGACATGGACAGCAATCAGAGTGAGTAACTTTACCGATTTTCAATTAAGTTTTATTTTATAACCTTAAAACGATGCAAAGTTTACGTAGCCAACGTGAGAACTGCTAAGAAATAATAATGAATTCCCGTTTGCTAGGTTTATTGATTATTACGATGTTCTTAATTCGTGGCAATGATTTAACCCCTTAACGTCAGTGGGACGTTTGGCACTCTTTTTTTTGTTGTATTTTTTCTCTATCAAATCTTTTAGTAATCATCATAAATCATATATCATTTGAAAGCTTAGAAGCCCAAGATTCATCCTGTGAAATCAGACATTGCGTTACCATGGAAATGGTACTTTAAAATCTTTTGGCGGTCTCCTCCCCCTTAGTGGGCAGTGTCAAGTGTCATATTACAAAATGAAAAAGAGATTACAGAGGGGCATATGTTAATTTACTAACAATTAGTTTAAGTATTTGCTATTGACTGTTTAAATGCGGAGTTTTGTGCAGCGCAGAGTAATGCGTCGTGTGTGTGTGTGTGTGAGGGGAACAGGGTCACATCACAGGAGAGTGAACTGCCTGTCAGAAATCATAGCACGTCAGCCGTCTTAACCGCAGCTTGTGTACTGCATCATCACTGCGTCTGTCACACGACTCTGTTGCCCTTTCCGGCTTGAACTAATGGTAAAACTAACAATACTTTGAAAGCTGAAGCTCGATTATGGTAAGCGACGTTACATTTCCGACGCGTGCTTGTGGTGTTCGGCCAATCACAATGCACTGGGTCAGCTGGCCAATCAGACAAAATGAATTACGGTCTTTTAAAATCAAAACTTTTTATAATCTTGACAAAACACATAACATTGGAAAGGTCTGAGTCTCAGGATTTATTTTGAGATAGGAAGTAATATTGACAAATCTAGAAATCTAGACATTTGTGACAGAAATATGCATAAAAAAAATTCAATGGAGTTTGGGTGTCACCCGGTGGCGGTTTGTGGTATATCACCCTAAATAAAATCTCAATTTTTTTCATATCAACTTCAAATTTGGAACATAACTTATTTAGACATAAGGCTATAATTTTATACCAATTTTAGAGTAAAACCTGATATGTAAAATATGTATTATATATAAAATAAAATTAATATAGTGCATTTTCTTTACAGTAAATTTAAACTACTATAACTTTTTGATACTTACATTTTTTGACAAAATTCCACTTTTGCGATAATTTGCTGTTGTCTTCTTTAAAAAGAGACCAACCTTATGTCTGTATTCCAAAGTGTTCATAAATTACAAAAATTTAAGTTTGGATAGTGCACCTGCACGCCTATTTTAAAAAATGGGGGGGTGACAGTTAAGCTAAACCATGTTGACATAATGACTACAATAAGTAAATCTAGCCAGCACATTAATTAAACTTAAAAAGATGATAAAAGCATGTTGATGTGAGATGTGTCAGTTTTACCTGTAGCTTACTGTATTAGTGGGAAAATTAGTTTGATACTCATTGTTTTAGCATATTAGTTAAGTATAAATCATCTTTCATAATTAAACTGGGCTCATTGCTTGGTTGCACCACAATATGTGTTATTAGCCTGTCCTTTTGGCAGTACTTTAGATTAATCTGGTTGATGTTTGAAAGGCATGGTCAGCAGTTTGCCTTCTGAACTGATGAGGCCAGAAACTTGCTTCAAGGAACTCTTCAGCCAGTGTACAGAGTGCTATCTCAGAGGAAATCCACATTCAGGCTGTCGATGACCACACTGCAGAGCTAAAGAGACTGCTGGACTTCATTGTAAAGTTACAGGGATCTGAGGAGCATTTAGTGGTACTTAAACAATGTTCACATTTAATCATCATTACAAACAAACTCATAGTAAAGGTTCACCAAGGGCCTTAATTAGGAATAACATTAACAATGTCTTTTAACTATGCTGCAAATTATTGTATCTTTATCTTAAATGTATCAATTTCGTGAAAATAACTGTTTTTGCACCATGGTTTGCCCATAGGGTGTACTCAGTGGGAAGCCCTCTAAGGTCTCATAAGCTAACCTCTTCCCGAGTGCCTGTCAACCTCGACAGTGAGGAACAACTGTCCTGTTTGCCTATCTGAGAGGAGTGCTGCATAGGACACCAACACAACTGAGCTTCACAGATGAAGTGCAGAGGTATGCCGGGCCATGTAATGTGTTTGTGAGTGTCCTGCTCCTGCACTTACAAAATCTATTGTATAAACTGCATGCTGGTGCTACTCGTGTATGGACCAATGTATAATGGCTTGCTGTTCAGTAGTGTTTTAATAGTATACTTAAATTAACAGTTTTTTCATAGGCCATCATATATGCCCTGGCTGTCCTACGGAATTTCTCATTGCAGGAGGCTGAGCAGGTCTTCCTTTCTGGTCCGGATTATCATTACAGGTCAGAGTAGAATATGAATTATTTTTGCACAATGCCCAGTGCACCTTTTGTTACTGATATTTCTGTTAACCCAACAGTGATTGTTCTCTGATAACTATTTCAGTGAAGTGGAAGATTTTAATAGAAGGATTGACGGTAACACTTTCTATGAAGCCTGTATTTATAATACATTATAAGGTTATTCTTAAAGCATTATAAGGCAAAATGTGCAGAGCGGGGGTACGCGAGGACTGGAACTGAGAACCGCGGTTCTAGACATGCCGAGGCTACAGCACAGCAGCTCTTTGTCGTCTCGTCTGATGCGGTCACTCAACCAAGCATTCTAACCACGACCTCCCCCCACCCCACCCCCAACCATTCGAATTTCTGTAGGCGGGAATTCTTTGTAATGATATTCTGATGAGCCGCTTTGTGATATCACAAAGCCCGGAAACCAAATGCTGTAGTCCAAACGTTCTTGAAAATTGATTTTTAAAAAACTAAATATCTCCCTTTGGAGTGGACTTTGAGATTTGTAACTTTCTAGATCTTTTTTATGCCCAAACATACACACTACACACTGACTAAAATTAAAAAAGTGAAAAAGCATAATAGGACCCCTTTAAACTGTTGATTCATTCAGAAACAAAACAACGTCATGTTGCTCAGAGACAGTACTGTGGCTGTGTTTGGAATGTTTTTTGTTGGCGAAATAGCACAGAAATAGCGCAAAAACAGCCAATCTAAACGTCTAAAACGTAAGTCTCTAGATATTAACTTATTGTTTATTGAACTGTTGTATAAAATAAATATCACATTTGTAACCATGCTGATTTTTTAAGAAAAAACGGCACTCTTCGTGTGATATTGATTAACTATATGAACTGATATAAATATATACATTTTCTGCCTCCTTATCTTGAAGTATGTGATCATTGTTAATGCATATTAATAGACTGAATCATGCAGCGAAAGAGTGCACTATAAAAGCGCACGTGCACTAAATCCTGTGTTGGTCTAACCAGACTTCATCTCGTCGCGTATGCATGCCTCGGTAGGTGTGTTTTGTTTATCTTTTGCAATATACTCGATAATGTCATGATGTCTCACGAGTTCAGTATTTGCGCTAAACCTGCGCAGATTTGACCTGCATGAACTTCCCCAAGAAATGAATGAGTGAACATAACTACGAAAAGTAACCCGCCAAATTGGCTAGTGATTTGACAGCGCATTTGGCGGGTGTTAATTTCAAACCCTGATTATAAGGTTATTCTTAAAGCTTTATAAGGAATTAATTATGCATTATAAGAAACCTTATAATATGTTGCATCATCTTATAAAT